CTCTTTCTGGATTATTACTAATGCGTAATAATTTTTCTTTGCAGGTCCTTTAACACCAAGGTGGAGGTTTGTTAGACAAATTGTTGTCAAACGACCTCTCAGGACAATGATGTAAGTTCATTATTTATTCAGTCGGCATCGACCAAATAACTGAAGTAGTATATCGACACCACAATTGTTTAGACCAATCCTATAACCTATTTATGTAATTTGAAGTAACTTAATTTAATTAGTGTTACTCATGACCCAACCCAAACCTCTTGGATGGCCTTTTGGTTGACCGCCCATTTATACTACCTATTGAGCCTGATTACCCTTTAACCTAAAGCCGTTATATATGCTGCCCATTACTATTGCTAATTAGAGTGTGAAATTGATTTTTTACTAGCCCCTTTAGTTGAGAGGAAAAATGGCAGTTCTGTTACTGGCTTCTTGCTTTCTGGCTCCAATGCTTTTTTTCTTCTCCTTCCCTTAGCCTTTGTGGCTAAACTTGTGGCTGAAATAAACCTTCACACTTTGTCCTTTGTGGGCAACTCGAAAGAGCAACCGGGTTTTATTGGGGTGCATTGGTTTATGGTTTTGGCTTGACATTGTGGTGGTCGATTAGTTGATACTGAGCCCAGATCCTTGGTAAGACTTGAGAAAATACACACACAATATAATCCCTCAGACGTGAGCACTAAGGTGCTACCGTTTGTAAAGTTTAGAAGTTGCAAAGATCTTCTAAATATCGGTGGAGGTAAATAATTTCCAATTTTATTGGTTCTCTTTCTGGATTATTATTAATGCGTAATAATTTTTCTTTGCAGGTCCTTTGACACCAAGGTGGAGGTTTGCTAGGAAAATTGTTGTCAAACGACCTCTCGGAACAATGATGCAAGTTCATTATTTATTCAGTCGGCATCGACCAGGAAGTAATATATTGACACCACAATTGTTTAGACCAATCCTATAACTTATTTATGGAATTTGAAGTAGCCTAATTTAATTAGTGTTACTCATGGCCCAACCCAAAATCCTTGGATGGCCTTTTGGTTGACCGCCCATTTATACTAACTTAAGAGCCTGATTACCCTTTAACCTAAAGCCCTTATATATGCTGCCCATTACTATTGCTAATTAGAGTGTGAAATTGGTTTTTTACTAACCCCTTTAGTTGAGAGGAAAAATGGTGGTTCTGTTACTGGCTTTCTGGCTC